CGTCTCCTGCGCGTACGCGTCTACGCCCGGTACTCCTAAGTCTGCGCGGTCGCGGTCTGCCCCTGCCAGCGCATCGCCCGCGTATGTCCACTCGCGGTTGTCCGCGAGCCCGGCGTCATTGCTGGCTTTCTCGCGCGCGTCCGTTCCAACGCCCGCGCGCCCCTGCGCGCTCGACTCCTCGCCTGGCACATAATCGTGTGCACCCGATGCGCGCTCCTCGTATTCTCGTCATGCGCCCGTACTTGTGCTGCCGAACGCTAACGCGTCCCAGTCAACCCCCTTGGCCTGATCGCGTGTCGCGTCTCCGTGTGTGGCCTGTTCGGTCCAACCGCGCGCATCATGGGCCGATGCGCGCCACTCGCCCATGGGCCGATCATTGTCGTCCTTCCCGATGCCGCTTGTCTCCGTTGGCTCGGGCCATGGATCCCAACCCTTCAACCTCACACAATCATTCGCCGGTATCCACCAACCATTCTTCTCCCATCGCAACCCACGCCTTTTAGCCTCCTTCCTTTGAGGTTGTCTTTTCTTTGCACAAGGCTCGCACCTATATTGACTTGCTTTTCGGGTCCTTGCCTTGCGTTGTCTCTTGGCCGTCCGTTTCCTTGCCTTTGACTTCAACTTTGGCCCACAACCTTTTGGCCAATCTTGTACACTTGATGGCCGGTAAATAGGATTAGATGGCGCCTCCAACATATTTTCCAGCCAAATATCGAGACCATCGCCATCATCATTATCTGACTCACCGGGGTTGATGACCACTTCCGTATCATTCCCCTCCTCTTTGAGACTTTCCTTGTCCTCAAGGATTAAAAAGTTCAGCTCTCCTTCACCTTCATGGCCATGAGCATCGATCACCATTGCTTCTTGGGCTTCCATGAGTTGTCTTTCATGATCCTCCCAATCTCTACGTTCGTGAAGCTCCTCCAAAAATTCTCGCTCCCATGCGGTTAATTCCCTTTCCAATCCTTCGAGATACTCAAGATCTTCCAGATCTAACTCAT